GCAGTTTTTCAAATGTCTTCACGTATGCTGTTGTATCGTGACGAATTAGGGTTGGTGGATCGAGAGTGCTCAGACGGGTTGGATAGGTGCAGTGACCGAAGACGGGTTGGATAAGTGCCAGGACCGGGCGTTGAATCACATATCTCAGAAATTGATCACGGGTGCGGACACTTGCAAAATCATGCTTGCTCCCAAATTATGTTAAAGTTGCAAGCATATTGTAGTGGTAGTGAACCTCGCGCGAACGATGAATAGCGTGTCATGTGTATTCGGCTTAGAAGGAATGCTATACAACATACGCGCATAAGCCATTTGTTTTTTGCCGTTTGTTCCATGGTGTCGTTACGGCGTATGCCGATGCGAGGATCGCATCATGCTAATCTCCAACTGCAGGTGGGACTGCAACAATTTGCCCCATGGTAAAATCTCTTATCAATATTTGTGTGCAGAGGCGCTTTCGAGGTAACGTCCTAATTGGAACGGTTGGCATTAACTGATAGCGTGAAGATTGCCGCTGCCACTTTTACTTGCACAGATCTTGAATTCGTGGAAAATTGCGATTGCAAGTGCGCAACGTGAGGAATTCATTTCCGTCCGCATTCGAATCATGCCTCGTCTAAATTAAGCTCGTCGCCTTGGTACGGGCAGCTATTGCGCCTCGGCCGGTCCCGTGAAGACGTCGGGAGCGTGCGGCCTCTCTGGCCAGGCTCGGCCCTGGACTTGGTCACAGGGTCGGGTGGCTCCCTCGACGGACACCGCCCACACCAGCGGCTGCCGGCGCGTCCCAGGCGCGCCACGGCGGTAGCGAAACCCAGTTGTGCCGTCTTCTGGTGGAAACGGCGCCAACATCGCGCCGCTCATCCCACCATGCCGATGTGCTGACGCCAGCTGATGAAGCGTCACGTCACAGATGGTGCAAGCCGCTCGTGACGCGGTGGGTGGGGGGGGGGGGGGGGGGCGGCGGAGACCGCTCGGGCCCCGGCGGGAGGGCGGCGGAGCGAGCCGGCTGGCCGGGCGCTGGAGCGTGGTTTGTCCGGTTCTTATGATCAAATGGTCGGTGACTCGAGATCGTGCATGGTCGCGGTCAGGCGGTCCACGCTACACGCCCGTGCGGGGTCAAGGCGACAAGGGCGACGGCGAGGGATCAGAGGCAACCACTGTGGGCTGCCAGATATCAAGTGATAAGTTGCCATCGGCTCAAATGACCATGGCGCCACTCACGGCGGCTCAATAGAGTGCAACGCGAACAGGCGTCACCAGTGGCCCGGGAGCGCGGTGCGCCCCACCAGACCAGGTCCCACAGCGGAGAATAACGATGGGACGACATGATGGTGGAAATGATGACCTCGCTCCGGTCTAGGGACCGATGCGGGGCAGGAGGGCCGGCGATGCCATGACAGCCGAGGAAAGACGAGCCCAACGATAGAGGGAAGTCGAATTCGCTAACAGCCGAGAGCAGCCGATACCGCTGACAGCCAAGAACAGCTGATATCGCCCACAGCCGGGAGCAGCCAATTCTGATGACAGCCAGAACAGCCGGTTCCGCTCACTGCCGAGAGCAGCCGATTCTGCTGGCAGCCGAGAGCAGCCGATACCGTTGACAGCCAAAAACAGTCGATTTCGCTCACAGCCAAGAACAGTTGATCCCACTGGCAATCGACGGAAGCCGATCCCACTTACAGCCGAGGGAAGTCGAATCCACGGAAAGCCAGGAGCAGTCGATTCCTCTGACAGCCGAGAACAGCCGATTCCGCTGGCAGCTAAGAGCGGCCGACTCCGCTGACAGCTAAGAGAGGACGATTCCGCTGACAGACGAGACCGGCCGATTCCGTCGGCAGCTAAGAGCGGGCGATTCCGCTGACAGACAAGAACAGCCGATTCCGCCGGCAGCTAGGCGCGGCCGATTCCGCTGACAGTCGGGAAGGCTTGGACACGGCAGGAGGGAAGCTGATCTCGCCACGTAACCGTCTGCGGAGCCTAGGTCTCCGGCGGCTCCTGGTCGCCTTCCGACCGAACCTCTAACACGAGAGCCTGGACCCGTATCTCTGTAGTGGCGCGCAGCTCAGAGAGAGACGGAGGTCACGGGGTATCAGGTGCACCTCGATTTCTGACGGCATGTAGCTATAAAGTGTGTGCGTTCTCGCGTGCTTAGGCGTTGTCCAGTGATTTCATCTGTGTTGAGGGCCGCACCCAGGCTTTGGCTGCCGGTGGCAGAGACGTACGCCCGTTGACCCCCGCGGACGTCCGGAGGGCTTTGTTATGTAAGAACACGTCGCGTCGAGTTACCGTCGGCCGAGACGCCCGGCCAGGATGCCCTCGGGGGTCAGCGGGTTCGTGAGTCCGCATGACCCCCAGGCAGCGCGCACCAAAGACTGCTCTGTGCATGAATGTTACAGGAAATTCCGCCGCTGGAGAAAATCGTTGCACGAGTAAGGCATTTAAGCGCTGCGCGGCGAAGGATTAGCTGACTGGAGGAAACGCTGGTGGTATTCGCCAGGGAGTCAGTGACCTCTTAATCATACCACTGCGACTGGTTTGCGGGAGTACCAGTACCGTGCGCGTCCCGACTGGTTTGCGGAGTACCGTGCGCTCTCCGTGTTTCGGGAGCGGCTGATGTGCGACTGTGACGCGAGTTACGACTGTGTCCCGGTCGCGATTCTGTACTCGGCGTACACCTGCGGACCGCCGCGGCGCTCCCCGGCCGTGACGCGAGTTACGTCTGTGTCCCGGTCGCGATTCTGTACTCGGCGTACACCTGCGGACCGCCGCGGCGCTCTCCGGCACTGGCTGGAGCGGCCGGCCGTGTCAGCAGCGACTCGGACGCGCGCCCTCGCGCGACAACCGCAAGACAGACAGCTGTCACGCGGTGGTGACGCGACGCGCTGGGGACAGAGCCGCGTCGCACGGATCGGCCGATCGGCGGCGGGTAGTCCCGACCGTGAATCACCTGCCCGGACAGCCACCCGCTGGACTTGGGGCGCACTCAGCGCGATCGTGAAGCCGACCAGACGTTCTGTTGTGACGTGCGTGGCCGGAAGTCGGACCTTGGTGGCATACGTGATGTGCTGTTTGCGACGCCGTGGTAGTAGTGGTACAAGTCATACATGTTTTTATGGCGCTGTCATTTAGTTCTGAAGATGTTTTAAATGGGGCTGACCGTCACGGTGCAGATTGGACGGATCACGTGTTTGGATCCCCAAGTCTGCAGGTCTTGCGTGCCTGCACGGACACATCTGCGAGCCGGCCAGTGAGACGACGCCTTGGTAATGAGGATTGGGCCTCATGGAAGGATATCACACGTCAGGGAATTTGGCTACTCAAAATAGATTTGCATGAAGCGTTATTGCGCTGCCCCGTCCAGTGGTTGATTGTGGGCCTCCGGCACGCCGCTGTCAACGGCGATGCCAGTCGTGTCATTCCCATCGTCCTATATCATCCCATGGCCACTCTCCACTCTGGGACCTGGTCTGATAGGGCTCAGCGTTCCCTGGGCCACCGGTGACGCCTCTTCGCGTTGCGTGCTATTGGACCGTCGTGTGTCGCACCATGGCCATGTGAACTGATGGCAACTCACCCCTTGATATCTGGCAGCCAACAGCGGTTGCCTCTGGTCTCTCGCCGCCGCCCTTGTCGCCTTGACCCCGCACGGGCGTGTGCAGTGGACCGCCTGACCGCGACCTGGCACGATCTCGAGTCGCCGACCATTTGATCGAGTTTCGAATATGAACCGGACGAACGGTACTCCCGGGGGCCGTGCCGAACCCGATCTCGCTCGTGACCTGAGTGCGGCGCGCGATTCGGTCCGTTTGTTCCCTGGCGTCGCCGGGACGGCACCTTGGCCGCTCCCCGGTCGCCTGGTGCCAGCGGACTCCTCTCAGAGCAGAGCCGTCTGGGGGTGGAGGAGTTCGCTCCCCCCTATGCCGCCCGAGGCTGGAGTCCCCTTGTGGCTGCGATGTGTAGGGGCGCGCCCGGTCTGTGCGTGAGGGAGGGGGAGTGGAAGGGAGCTCTGCAATTGGAAGGGACTCTGCGATGGCTGAATGAAGGAGGTAGAGCCATTCACAAACACATTCCATACCTGATGGCTGAAAGTTAATTGTACTCATACCTCGCTAGATAGGCCTATTAAAATTGAGTGTGAGGTCCGCGTTCCAGGATGTGGCCTCTAAATCTTAGGAATTGTAGCCGAAAAGAGATTGTCCACGCGTGTTTTGCCCGTGTGGGCTGCGTTTGAGGTTGGATTCATCGTTATCACTGTTTCAAATGTTAAGTAAGTTCGTATGAGTTTTAGTTCCGTTTCACAGAATAACCGCCTTTATTCAGATCAGTTAAAAATTGTCACATTTGTACCCAATGCGGCAGTCTATTATGGCTGATTTTTGATCGAAGAAAGCAACAACAGCGAAGTTTCTGAGGCCCCTACTGGCGTAAGGGGTGTCCACAGTAATTCCAATCACCGCCATAGCTGTGTCCACAATTGTGACCAAACTTCACGCGTGTCTAAAATGAACGCATATTTTTCACTACATCCTACATTACATGATATCGGTTGGTATCACAAGCGGCTGCTAGTCCCAATCGCTCATTTCAGTTTTTGGAACGGGCCCAGGCTGTGAGAATGAGAGTGTCGGAGTTGGCACCCCGGGAGCTGACGCTGACGATGTCCTCTCGAATTCGCTCTGTGCTCGCCCCTGTTCCCGGGTCCTGACAGCCGTCCTGCCAGCCGTCCTGCCCCCGTTCCCGGGTCCTGACAGCCGTCCTCCATCGGTGTGCCCTTGCCCGACGCCGCCAGTTCCGGGAAGGGCGCCAGAGGTTGTCAACAAGGGTCGCGGCCGGGCCGGGCCGGTCGCAGGTGCGCGCCGCGTCCCGCCCCGCCTCCATACCGCACCGCGCCGGTCCCAGTGGCCTCCCGAGCGGCCGTGTGACGTCACGGGCCGGGCGGCTTGGGGAGTCCCAGCGCGGCCGGCCACGGGACGCGCGCCGCGCGCGGCCGGCCGCCGCAGTCGTCGGTGTGCGCCGTGGGGGGTGCCGGCGAGTGGGGCGTCGCGGATCGGTCGCTGCCGGCGGGCGCGCTTCGGACGGACCGCGGCGGAGTGGACCGGGTCGGAGGTGAGTGTGGGTCGTGTCGAGGCAGTGGGCGAGACGAGGAGAGCCAGCGGCTGCTGCAGGTGCCGCTCGCTGGCGTCGGCGTGAAGCCTGGCGCCGCGGAGGGGCGCTGCGTGGGACGGGCGGCCGCTCGGCTGAGCCGCGCGTTCGCCACCCTGACCGGCCTCGAGTCGAGGTCGGGCCGCGCACGCTGACGCTCCGTGGAGCTGGATGTGGCCGTTGATCGGCCCCGTTCTCTGAGCGTGCAGCGATAGAGACAAGCCGTCTCCCTCTGAGCCGTGATAGCCGTGATAGCTGATTGCACTATCGGCGTCACTCTCCCGGGTCATTGGAAGGCGATTGACAAGCTGCTGACGCCGCTGTGGTGGCGGCGTCTGCTGGTGACGTCCATCAAAAACCCCTTGCTCGTTGTTGTTGTAATTTGTTGTCCGTAACTGTTACCATCGTGGCAGCAGACCAGACGAGTCCTGGGCGGTGTAAGGACATAATTCAGACTTGTGCGCCGGACTGGCCTGGCACGACCAGCAGGCTTTCCAGGAGGCTCGCGTCTCTCTGATCCTTGGCCTTCACTGATCGTGGGCTCATGCAGTATGCAGCAACCAGAAGCGTCGTTCCCGAAAAGCTGGGCTGGGCATTTTCTTATAGCTGGTTGTTGTGACGCGTTTTCTCAAAGTTGTCGGAGTACCCCGACGGCCGTCTCCCCCCGTTCGGCTGACAAAAAACGAAATGGTTAAGTTCATCAAGAGCTGCTGAAAAGCGGTCGAAACTGTGTCCTGATCTGGGCGATCTGGTGGAGCAGTGGCACGAGACAACATGTTCGGATGGAGGAAAATACCAGCAATGGTCGGCAAAAGTGTGTGTCGTTGCGTGCCAGCGGTCCCTCTCCCTCGAGCGCCAGGCATAGATATGACCATTTTGGGTGTGTTAATGACAGATGCCAGATCCTGACAACCAATTCAGATGAAGACGTGGCAGGAGCTGCACAGTGTAGACAAATGTACCGGCTACAACCCGTTATCAGACCTCAGAACTATCCGCCGCTCGGATGCGTCTGAAGTACTGTCAACTTTCCCGAAAGCCATGTCGAAGATAAGATGCTCGACCTAAACCGAGAGAGACTGAACCATCCGAAATGTGCCAGCACACGATCCCGTTCATTGTGACCGGCATCGGCGAAATGGCTGTGTTATTCGCGATGCCTTGGTCTCAACCGCCAAAGCCGTGAATCACAGCTGTCGTCGGTCTTGGCCACGGATATCGCTGGAGTTGGTCGCGCTCATAGTCGGACAACTTTCAAGCAATGCTGTGTGCGAATTAGCGCGAATGTTCCGCCAATGGACGTCAGCATCCTGTTGTCCTCTCATGGAAGGCGAGCTTTCCAACGATCACACTCATTGATTTAGGTTGCCCAAAGTGTCCGGTTTCATTGGCTTCATTTTTGACGTCATCTGCATGATGACATCCGACAGCTCTCATGTCCGCCAAAGTCCTGCCGGTTTGAAGCCAAGCAAGACGTGTTAGCGGTTGCTAGTGGGCATGCGTGTGACATATTATATATATATATATATATATATATATTATATATATATACATTTATCTTATGAATAGGTTGCCATAGATAGATTGCTTGCATATACGAATACATATATATGTATGTTCTTGTATGTAAGCAATCTATCTTCTTTAAGCATGTATTAAAGACCATTGAGCCAGGAATTCTGGTCGTTAGTAAGCTCTCTGTTGATTCATTGGATGTTTCTAATCAGGTTTTTTGTATCGGGTTGAGTTTTCAAGATTATCTCACCTTCTTTATACATCCACCACTTCACTCATGTTGTAAGGACATAAGCACGCGTATAAGAGGATGTGAAAAGTTGTACGCCTACCATGTGAGTAATGCAGACGATTCAGTTGTTACATTTCAACAGGGCACACACAAAATGGTGATTTGAAAGATCGAACGAATTTGCGAAGAGCTCTCCAAAGCCCAAAACTCTTTGGTCTTAAACGCTAGCTAGTGTCTTTGTCAAATTCAAAGTTGTGGAACAATGAGAAGTTGGTGACTGTTGTCCCCCCATTTTAACCGTAAATCTTAAATTTCTGCACCAGTGGTCGTGAGGTGGAGGTAGCTTACGGCTTACATGGGTGACAAGAGTTCAGAGCAGTTGCTTGGTGTTCCCCAAACCAACCGCCCAAGCTGCGCCAATCCAGCTCATCGAAAAATGTTGCCCTTTGTGTACTACAACAGGCCGGTCTGGACAATACTGACCCTGTTTGACCTGGGCCGCCCGGACCGGACCCCGCTTGACGCGACTGACCTTTCCACGTCGGTCAGGCTTCCGGTCGCGCTCGCTCCGGGCAGCACCCAGTGCCGCTCTGCAGGCCGCCGTGCCGTATCACCAGCCAGGCATGGCGCCCACGCACCGCGATTGCGTCAGTTGCTACCCGCTCTCTTGTTGCAGAGTAAGCCACCATCTTGGCTTGTTGTCTTTGAATGTTCCGGCTCCTCACCACCCTTTTCAATGCATTGCTTTATTTTTTATTCAGCCTCAATAAAGCACGGCTCCTGAGCGCGGACCCGACATAACACCGGCCCGAGGATGCTTCCTTAGCCTCCTTGGAGCGGGCCTCACGCCGGCTGTCACCTCCCCATCCCCCTCGGCGGATGCGCGCGTGGTAACGCGACATTTGATCGCTGTCATTCAGCCAGGCGCTCCGTTCATCTGGTGGAGTGCGCATGGCGTCGCGTGCAGCGCGGGGTGAGCGGCTCGAGTTTGCGGCTCGGCAAACCGAGCCAGGCAAAGCCATAGAGGGGCTGCCTCGTGGCATTGCATGTGTGGCGCGAACAGATCCTTCAGCTGTCAGGTGGGGCTGAAAGATTGTAAAGGGGAATTATCTGTGAGACTAGAATGCCGCGACCTGAATAGCAGGTGCGTGGTGTAAATGCATGCGGTGGCGTAGCCCGCATTTCGCCCGGGGAGTGGGGTAATTCGAGCCCTGTAGCCAAGAGGTCTTTTTTGTCCACTTCGTTGTCGTAGGGCACGATTCTTTGTTTAATGTGTGCGTCAGACGTTTTATGGGCTGAGGCTCCCTTTCGATGCACCGAGGGGCCTGCTCTTGATGTTTATTTGCCCCGTGGGCGTCCTAATTTTGCCAAAATGTACAAGCAAATGAAGCTTTCCGCTCCCCCCGCCCCCGGCGGCTGCCTTCGCCGCCAACACGAGACAGACTTAGGCCAATGTCATTGCGCTAACCGTTTCTATTTTTGTTCACGGTGCAGCTGGCGACTTCTTTGCACAAGCCGTGGCGTGCTCTTTGCAATTGGGATGGTGCAAAGCTCTAAGGAACGAGTGGATATTAAATATTTACGTTTCGAAATTTCAGTCCGGTTCTTTAGAGCTGAGCTATTTAAACATTAAACGCATCCCAGCTCGGAGGGCATCGCATTGTCTGTGACGCACATTGCCGTGCCGTTGCGCAAGCCCGCAGCTGTGTCCCTGCCGAGACGGGCCATCAGAAGGCTGTCGCCATTGCGCCCTGGTTTCCGTGACGACGGCCCGTGTGCGGCCCCAGGGATCCGCTCATCTGGCCAGGCGGAGTCGATGGTACGGCGTCGGGTCGGACGGCCCTGCAACTCGGGTGGGGCCCCGGAGGGCCCCTGGACGGCAGCTACCAGCCGTCCTCCGGGCGCCCCGGCCTGGGCAGGGAGCCCCCGGCCCGCCCCGGCCCGGTAGGACACGCCGGCTGTCCGACCAGGAGGATGACACTGCGATGTGGGGACCACGAGTGTGAAGATCTTTCACCGCGTGCTGGTGGTATGAGAGTAATAGGTGTTCGTTGGCTACCTCGAGATAACGCAACTGGGACACACTGTGCACACCGCTGTCTGGGCGCCGGCCTCCCCGGGGGACCGGTGTGCTGTTCCGTCTCCGGCACTTGAGAATACTCCTCGGAAGGGCTTAAGGAAGGGTCGGGCTGGCGATTTCAATCGGTGAAAGGCCGGGGAGTGAGGTCTAGATCCGCACCGGTCAGGCGTGGTGCTTTGATTGTCCGAGCGTGTGCAGTGCCTCGCGCTCATCCGAGCAGGCCGTCATAGACGTTATCGCGGACTTCTCAACCATCGGTGGACGTGGTTCAGGACTTCTGCGCTGCCGAGCGCGGGCTTTATGTTGATCTGGATAAGCGAGGGTGGTGCTGTAAAAATGGCTTTGATGGCTGTTTTATGACGGGGCTTTGCAGTTTGCCGTACCTGACGGAGGCAAATGAAAGGCATAGGATGGGAGGAAGGGAGTGTATGCCGTGAGCCCATCGACCCTCCACATGCCGGAAGAGCATTTGGAGCATGAATAAACCCATCACAAATTATGCATATATATATATATATATATATATATATATATATATGTGTGTGTGTGTGTGTGTGTGTGTGTGCGTGTGCGTGTGCGTGTGCGTGTGACCGAACACTGGTGGTACCCAAGCCCAAATGGAGGTTAGCATTGCTGTCATCACCAACTGCAGTACAGTTTGCCAGTGTTCCTCAGCGGATGTTTTTCTCGTCACGACTTGGGTCTGTGCGTGAGCCGAGCTCGTGCCCAGTCAAATCCTCCCAGTGGTCGCAGCAGCTCGTAACTGCCTCTGCTGATCAAACCATTACGCGCCTCGGTATTTGATGTGGTTTGGACAGCGCGTGGTGAAAGAGGTGCCCGCCATGGCCCAAATATGCGTTCATCTGCCGTCAAGTGGAGTGTGCGTCGTCCTCCTGGAGCGGTCTGCCTCATTTGTAGCTTCTGATCTTGATAGCATGAATGTTCTCCCTCATTACGCGTGCCTATGCTCGTGCTCTCCGTGTTTGCATGCACCAGAAGTGCTTCTCTGAAACTGCATGTATATTTAGCGCTTTGTTTCACGCTTCCTGTGCTTTTGTGACAGGCGTAACGTTACTAAGCTTCAGTTTATATGGGACCACGACCTATTCATCCTTGCACGATGTTTGTCGGAGAACA